GATAGGTATTTAATTTTAATTAATATTCATTCATAAATTTAATTAATATTGATTATGAAATGCTCTGCCTTTAATTTCGGTCTCCTGTCTAAATATACTTGAATTATGAGAAAACCATGAAAATATCAGATTCTTACCCAAGCCTTGCTGTTTTCTGTCTGATGGAATTAGAAATCCATCCTTCAAAATACTACTTTTTCATCATTTTTTGCACAGACAGAACTTGACAATAAATACTTAAAAATAAGTAAAACACTGGGTATTGTTACTTGAGGAAAGGTAGTGAAAATGTTCATATGGTATTGCTTAGTGATTATCCTCCTTGTGATCAACGAATGTTACATTAATTCTGTACCCCCTGTATGGCAAGGAGATCACCTCACTTCCTTTCGTACTTGCTTGATATTAGGAAAAATGAAAATCGTTTTCCGTGAAGGGTCAGAAATATAATTGGAAAGCAAGCTATTAGACAGAAAATTACATATAATTTTTCTGGATGAACTCATCCGTGGCGAGAAGAATGAAAAAACAGCTTTCTTGAAACAGGGTTTTGTTCACAAACTAAAGAAGTATGTGGGTAATTCTTAATGAAAATATGTTTGGATGATCCAGAATAATGAGATACCATATTTTACTCCCCTTACATTTTTTCCAGATGAGAAGAGTAACAATATTTACAAAAGTAATTTCTTAGTCAGTCCAGATGAGGTAGTGGTGTCCTAGCCTGCCAGCTTTATTTTTTCACTGAAGAGCAAGAGTATTGCTCTGTCTTGATGTTTACAACAACTTAAAGGCCAACTAGATTGCTTGGTAGTTTAGATTCCACTCATGTAGGCAGAAAGCAGTCTATCCAATTTCAAGGTATTTCAAATATGCTCTCCAGTCTCATGTATTTATTATACGAATATATAATTTTCTAATGCGACCTCTATAAGCAGATGTCTCCATGCCATTAATATGATTTTCTGCTCACAGCAGTTATATTCCAATACAGACCCATTGGCTTTAGTGAGCTGCTTCAATATTTATGTAAACATCTTAATAAAATGAGAATATTGCCTAAGTTTTTTTCCCTGTTCTAAAATTACACCAGAAACACAATGAACCCAAAAACCACTCACCACAAAGCAACCCCTTGTTTTGTTTCCATCACACAAACACTTCTTTATTTTCCAGCCATGGAAAGAGGATCCTGGAGGGAGAAAACTGCAGCTGACTAGGCTCACAACCCCTCCACGCCCTCTTGATTTTGCATGATGATGGGAACCCCATACCTGGACACAGGATTGCAACTCCTGTGCTGGGAAGAGCGAGGAGGTACGGCACTCCTGGCTCTGGGCCATGGGTGAGTATTTCATAGTACAAGACTTGTAAGGTTGGGAAATTTGATATGGCTTTCAGCTATCATCCCATTTCTTGAACTTTAGACACTTGGTACTATTTATCATGCTCTCTGTCATTATTAGCACCTTTCCAAAAATTCTAAGTCACCGTTGAGGTTTCTTTGGTTCTCAGTGCTTTTATAAGGCTTCCTTTCATACCTTTATTTCCATGCCTTCTCAGTTTTTCTATGCTTTAGAATAGTTAATTGCTCTTAATTTTAATATTTTTCTTCTTTTCAATTCACAGTAAATGATTACTGTATTTCTAACTGCTGTTCATTATTTTGTTACAGAGCCAGAAGAGCTTTCAGCTGTACTTATCCTTTCTTGTTTGGGGAACTATGAGAATAATACCCCAATACCCCAAGCTAAATAGCTTGTATTGAGATTCACACACATTTTTCTGTTTAAATTTTCCTTTCCAAGTGTTTTTCCTCCTCCTAGTCTTGAGGAAGTAAATATTTTTTACATAAATATATGAAAGTGTTGTCTGTTTCTCTGCAATGATTGCAATCAATTCATGATTTCCGGTCTCTAATCCTTGGATTAGAGGGGCAGTGATATAGAAATATCCTATGCTGTTGGACATTATCTCACAGAAGCTCTAAGGATATTTTACTTCAGCCTGTGTGAGATGACCACTAACATCTCATCAGTCTCCCCACATTTGAAACTTTTCCACATGTTTTTTGTGCCTTTAAGTCCTTCTCTCCAGATCAAATCTGGTTTATTCAAAGAGACACAGCCACGCCGGTTCTCCTCCTTCTGATTACTAGTTAGCACAGTGATCATGTATATTAGAGATTGTGATTAAGCAGTTTAGATTTCTTAGAACCTGCAGATAACAGATGTTCTTCTCTCTCCTCCCTTCCCCCTTCACCATGTAAGTGTTCACCACTTTTGCCCACTCCCCATCCAGTGATTTTTGCCATCTCACTATTTGACCCTATGGGGCTTCATTGCACCAAGGGGAATTTTGAGCTCTGCCCTTTGTAGTAACTCATTACAAAGTCCAACTTGCTTTCTGAAATTACTTCTTTGTTTGAAAGGGATTGAGTTAATGCTTCTTTGTTCTGCTTGACTATAGAGCACCCTTCTATGCTCTGTGCACAACAAATGTCTGTAGAGGCGTTAGGATTTTAGTCAGTTATGACCTAATTGCACTTGAGGACTAAAGCTTCACTTTGTTGCTGCCATTCATTCAGAGGAGGGCTCATCAGAGTGGGGAAAAGTGTTTAGTAGGTAAGTACATTTTGGTGGCTTACATCCTCCCTTCAGAAATAGCATTTAACACAAGCACTTGCATCATGTAATGTAACCTTGGTCCTGTAGTCTTCTCTATGCGAACAGCTCAGTGCCAGACCTTGTGGCCCCTGGTACACCATATTTAGAGATTTTCAGAACAAGTGCCCATATTTGAATTTCAAAAGTCCTCTGGGAACACAGGTAATCTGAAGCCCAGAGCTAGTGGTTTACTAGCAATGTTATTTCCATTTCAATTAAAACAAAGAGAGAGCAAAGTAAAATTGAAGTAACTAAACAAAGAAGTAGCTACCCAAAGGACATGCAGTATGCAGTAAAAAATTGATTGCTTATGAGATATTGAATCTTTTCCATCTAATCTTCCTAAAACTTTGGGTGATTTGGCAGAGTTTGTCGTGTGTGCTCCTGAAGCCTACATGACTGCATGTTCCAGTGGGTCAGCAGAGCTTTTCAGGTATTTATCGAGATGTCCATAGTATAAAGTGTTAATATTAGTACACTGTATTCCAAACCAAAATCTAAGAATATGTTTGCCAATTGCTTTGGGGTTTTAATAGGAGATTTTTAACAACCTATTCTCAACTTTCTCTCAATTGCTATATTATAAATAATATATTTATGTATTTTCGTATGAAAGCACGAATTGAGTTGTCAGTTTTATATTTGAATTTAAATATTACTATGAGTGCTTAATGACAGAAGACATTTAGTAATCAGTGTTACTGATTTATGATACTGCACACTGAGTTTCTTCTGGCTTTTGTTTCAGACTAAATCAAATACATGCACGAGAAAACTAAATGTCCTAGGTGTAAATATGTATATATATATATGTATGTATGTATGTATGTATCTATCTATCTGTCTAAAATGGTGGTGTTATGTGAATCTCATCAAAGAAAAATTAATTCCTAATAGCAAAAATCGAAAGTCCAGAGCCCTTTTTATATTTAGTTTTAATAATATCCTGATTGCCAAACAGACAATTTAAGTCAGTAACTTTCTTATTAAACTTACTTTGAGAGATTCAAATTGCAGCAAATCATAAAACAATCTTCATTTGGTTTAAATTATTCAAAAGGAAATGAGACCCAGTAGAGTGCTCCTGTCTTCCAAGTCTGCCATAAAGGCAATGAAAAAGCACTGTTTAGTTCAAAATGGTATTGAAACTGATTTACACTATCACATAAAGTGTGCTTCACATTTATTGTTGCTTAGATACTAATGTATATCATGAACACAGCTCAGTTTATATCTGCGTGGATACATTCCAGCAAAAGAGGTATTTCTGTAAAGCTGTCAGGAAAACATACCTGTCACCACGTAAAAGTACATGCAACACTCTGAATGCTTTACTTTAATGAATTTGTTGTGCTATGCTTATCCCAGGCTGTGAGGCAGAGGACAGTGATTTATAACTTGCAGAGCCGTAGCCCTGATAGGATGATGAAGGACTGTTTCTCCTCATTATGCCAGCAGAGCTTCTTTTTGTCTCTTCTCTTATTCTTTGTTCATTGTTTGCCCTTGGCATCATCAGTCACCAGGCAGTACAGTTTACAAACATTGTTTTGGCTGGCAGAAAATAAATTATTCAGCCAATGATGTGAAATCTATCAAGTTCCTTCTATAAACTGCATCTTGAAACCCTATTCAAGCTGATCCATAGTTTACATAACGTTTGACTTTTAAGAGAGATTCTTCCTTTCTCACTCCTTACTCAGAGCAAGATACATTTCCTTTAATCTTTCAGCAGGCAAAGGCTGACCAACTTCCAGGAGCTGTAGTGACTAAATCATTTTTCTCTGAACATTTTTTGCTTTTGTTGCAAACCCCACATGGGGTGGGTTTGAACTATACTTCATGGAAGTATAGTTGAGCAGTATTTATCGTGGGTAACCAAATATGAATAACAGCCAACATGGTAATAGTAGCTAAAATTCATTGTTGGAAAGAAAACATATAAACCAGAAAGGTGACAGGGACAAGTCTAAAACCAGAAACAAACAATGCATCGTGTTTATCTGCTTGGTAATATCTACATAAAATACTTTAAATTATAAAGCCCTGTTTGTTTGAGTGGTTTGGTATAATCCACAAGCGAATCAATTGGCTACAAATGACTGAAGCTGCTGAATGGGGAACTAGGTACTTGTATATTTTGTCTAAAAAATTAAATAAATCTGGATTACAAATCTGAACAAAAGCAGACACACTGTTATGACTTTCCTTAAATAATCCTGCTATCTGACAGAGCTATCGTGACCATAATGTGACTATATACACACTAGAATGAAGGAGTAAGGAAGAGGATTTGCAGAGTATGAAGGGAAGTGGAGTGTTTCAGTGCCACACATACATGGATTTCAGACTGTTGGGACAAAGTCTTGAAAAATATCCAGTAACTATCATTATTGCCAACTATGGGATCCCAGACTGAGAGTAAGAAAAAATTATTTACTCTGCTATTCCACTACATCTGTATCTTTATATGTGTTTGAATGATTTGAAGTATGATGGGGGTTTTTTTAATGGTAGCCATCATAAAATTATGAACCTGAAGTTATGCTAGGTTTAACTGACCCTCCAGTCTGGTCTGTTGAGAAGTTTCAGACCTGCTGTTGATTCAGAAGAGATGGGGTACAGCCACCTCCACACCAACTACATCAGCTCATTAGCTTTTCTGAAATGCATTAGCAATCGACAGTTTTAGTCTGATCTTTCTGGTATAACAAACATTTGCAGAAGGAAAGACTTCACAGAAAATCTGACCCTCAGAATTACAAAATTATGGATGAAAAATATGTTTGCTGTAAAAAATCTTGGGGGTCCTGTAGTCCTTTTAAAGTAGCAAAGTAGGGAAGTGTGTTTTACTCTAGGTAAGTTTGATTAAATGCCATATAATATCTCTTGTTCTTTTTTGTTTTAGTCATTGGACTGTCAAAGCTGTGACAGATCTGGCTATCAAACTGTCTAAAGTATTTGTTTTAATGAATGATTTCGTGCTTTGGCAGCCTCTTCAGGCAGAGAAGTTGGTGGATTTTTAAATTAGTGTTTGGATACATATGAGATTGGCTGCTGATGTCCATTCAATTTGCTTTTTATCTCTCTGTGAGCACAGCAATTTTTGCTGGGATTTTTTTATAATTTTTGAGGAATTTATACAGCTACTTTTTAGTTCTCTGTATACTTCTAATCCTCTCCAAGATCAGCAACTCCACAGATAACTTTCTGGAAATGGCACTGAGTCCAGCTTTCAGCCAAAACAATGTTGACACTGAGTTCAGCACATTCATTCTATTACCTATCAGAGAAAGCTCCTAAAATCAAATTACACCGCAACTACTTAAATTAGATGTAAATCTGCAGATTTGCATAATTTGTTGTCTACAGGTTGTAAAAGCAAATGGTGAAAGTTTACAAAGAACTGATTTTAATTTTTAATAAGAAAAAATCCTCCAGGTAGAAATAATTCTAGCATTTGCTATCAGTGAATGCTTAATATTGAAATTTCCAAAGTGTTTCAAATAGTTCTATGCACAATTAAGTTGGTATGACTCTTTCTTTATTTTAAATTGTGTATTCTTTTTCAAAAACATTTTAAAAGGACTTTTTTCCCCCCTTTGAGTACATGTCCCTCTTAACTGCTCATTTTCAGCCTATAGGTTTGTGAAGAATATGAACAATTGCCTCTATGAGCTTGAAGTTATGCTGGAGAGTTTACTTTATTTGTATTAGATTGTTTGGCTTGGATATTTTTCACAGGAAAATAACTGATTTTTACAGGGCTTTTCCTGTTTCCTTTTTTGACAATAGGCAGAGGTGGTAGTCCTGGAGAAGACACAGATGCACGAAGCCATCAGATAGATGTCCCTGAAAACTCTTTTGACTGTTTATCACAGGAAACCTTGCTGTGGCCAGCATTCACTCTGACTTTTGGTGGAGCAGCTGTTGTGTTGCTGAGTTCATTGAATTGAAGGTAGAGTCAGAGCCAACATCTTCCTTTTGAAGGATGATTTTTTGTAGGTTCCTTTGTTAAATTAATGAGCTTCTGTGCTAAGGGACCTCTTAAAAGTAATTCATATTTCATTGGACACACTTATGACCTCATTTAGTTTTTGTAGATGTATGAAGGAAGACCTTTTTTCTCTTTCTATAGGTAGAGATTGGGTGGGGAAAAAAGAGTAGCCTCAGGATCTGAGATACCAAATTCTAATTCTCAGAAGCACACCAAGTCCTTTACAAATAAATATCTGCAGTCTCACTTCTCCAAGTTTTTTATCCTGCTTGAGATATAAGAAAGATATTTAAATCTAAAGAGGTTGTAACATCCATGATGTTGAATTGCCATGTTTCAGTCATATCCTTCCCAGTGAATATTAAATGCCACTCTTATTTTAAACATGGAAGTGTAATTTGGCAGCAGTCTACACGGTGATAATGGTTGTAGAGGTTGCAAAGTCATGGAGTACTAGTATCTGTAATTTTTCAGAGGACCACATTTTAGTCTGCTGTGGGCATAGAAACAGCTGAAACTTCTCTGTTCTGTATAAGATAGTATTTCTTGCCTTACTGTTCAGTGTCTGTTTTTCATGCAACATATACCTGTGTCTGCAGTGAAAAATCTATATTAAAACTTCAGATATAACTTTCTGGCTAAAGTTACATAAAATATCCTTCCCCACTGCTACTTCTAACACTTATTAAATGCATAAATTTTAGCAATATTGAAAATGTTATGTGTAATAGGATGTAACTACTATTAGTAAGCATACTGAGCTTCAGAAAGGAATCCTAGACCACTAGAAAGGCCTTCAGTCTCCTGAGTCACCTCAGTGGTTTTACTTACAGTATGAGAATGGGTAAGAAACTGCTAATTATTTTCAGACACCAGGTAGAACTGCTCAACGAAGTAGTAATGGCATATGTAGAATCATATGTGTAGCTGTTTTCCTCTAATGGTACTATTTCTAAGTAATGTGGTTAATAATTTACAGCCAAATATACACTTTTAGTCCATCTTATGCCAGAAATCCTCTTTTAAACTTGGATTTAGAGTTTCCTGAGTACATCTACATGTACAGCATCAGAGTATGAAGCTTTTTTTACCTATTGCACCTTTTAACAGATTTCTAATATTAATTTTTCTAATAATGATTAATTTCTAATCACCACTAGAATCACTGTTAGAATCAAGGCATGTGTTGAACCTTCCAACATGACATTAGAAACAGTAGTTTCGAATCCACTCAAGCTTCAAGAAAGGAAGTTTCTCCTTTCTTTATTTCTTTCTCATATGAAAGAGGTACCTCTCAAAAAATTATGCTTTCCAGAAAATTAGTATTCTTCACATCTTCCTATCACTTTCTGAAAACTATTCAGCTCTTCCTCTTAGGAAGCCACTGTAGACTATTTAATATAGCTGATTATTAAATAAAATATTCAACACCATGAAAGGGCCATCATTGTGCTTTTATGATGATTGTGTCTCTTTATGAGCATCTCCTTATGGTCTATTGTATTTCTGGCTAGGTTAAGCTGTGCTGAAATGCCTTCTGTATTTTTCATTTGCCTACTTTAGTTGAGGTACTTTTATTCTACTTCTAGTCTTCTATCACCAGTCTGCTTTCATGCCATCATGGAGGACAGCAATAAATCCCAGTTCATAACCATAATAAGTTTATCAAGTAACAGGTAAACAACCAAAAGGTATAGAAAAGACCAGGTGCAGAGAGGTGAAAGTTCCTTAGTGTTAGCCTGCCCATCAGCAAACTCTATCTACTCTTATCTCACTTGTCCCTGAATGTGATATCCTGTTTGAGACATACAGTTGTAAAACTAGTTGAGTTTCCATTTTTTAAATCAACATAGATAAAAAATTAGAAGACTGCGCAAGAAGACCTGTAAAGTTCCTTCACCAAAAAAAAAAAAAGAAAAAAATTGGTGCTTTATCCATTTCTCAAAATAAGCTCTTCTCTTCCAGCATTTCAGTCATTTTGTCTTATGCAGCATTTCAGTTAGTTTGTCTTATTTTACTCTTTTTAGCAAAGTTGTATTTTTATGTATGAGAAGATAAATATTTCAATATAAAAAATATCAATAGAGTCTTCTTTGGATCTGCTTTAATCTGTTCCCTTAAGGGTTTGAATGTTCAGCAAGGACTTTTTGTTTTTTGTTAGACTTCGTTTCCAAAGTCACTAGGAAACATTTTGTAAAAACGCATTTTGTGTTGTAAATTTTATGCTAAATTATATTATTTACATGCTATATTATTTTGGGCAGAAAGATAAATTAATGGGAATAATAATTCATATCGTAAATCATATGGGCTATTCACTTAAGGGTTGGACTTGATGATCTTTTGGGTCCCCTCTAAATTAAAATATTTTGTGATTCTGTGACACAGCCCAAAACTGAACTCACCTCTGTAAATAAAGTAAAATAAAAAATTGAAATAAGGCAGTTTCAAATATAACTGATACACCTCAGGATGTGTCTTTTCATTATATTTCCTAAGCAAGGAAATTATTATGATGTCATCATTCCAGTGATATTTGCCTGTCTCTCCTCTGAGCGCTTGACCATTTCCTTGCTAACTGTTGTAGTATCCCTTTGGCAGCTGGGGTCACACAGATGGAGAATAGCCCTACCAGACCTGTGCAGACTGTTAACACAAAGTAGGCTTTTCCTGTGGAAAAACTGACACTTGCTCCGTAGTGAATTTTCTATACCCTTCACTTTTAAATTGAACTGTCAGCAGGCACTATACTTAACAAGTCTATTTTATATGCTATTCATTAGATGCCTGCTAATAAATGACTGACAAGGCAAATCTGAAAGATTTCATCAGTAATCTGTCAAAATGCAACATGATTAACTCTCAAAACTTAGAAGTTACTGTCATGAGGGTTGTCAGTTTGAGTTCATTTGTTTGCTTCACTTGGTTTGGCTGGCAAAACCTATCTTTGTTTAAAATCATGCCCCTGGGACTATCTGCCTGGTTCATTTTGTCTCCAGAATGGCTTTCTACTCAATGCTGGAGTCACGTACTTCACACTGAATTGGTACTGGAGAAGATAGATAAGTGTTCTGGAAAAGCCACTGGTTTCCCACTTTATTATGGTACCCTCTCCTAGTGTGCACAAGTAGTGCAGGGTATGATTTATCCTTTAGTTTATACCACTCACGCAGATCCATTTCAGAAGCTAGAGAAGGCTTAGATAATGACACAAGATTGGCTTCTGGTTTCAAAGCTTATTGGAATCTAAGATTTCTACACTGATTCAAGTAACTTTGAATCCAGTCTTTGGCCATGGTGTTTTGTGAATGTGGTTTTTACGCTTTAAGATGTTCTGATCTATGAGGTAGAAATTGTGATAATTTTTATGCGCTACAGAGGGATCCAAAACTCATGCTGTGACATCTCCTTTTTCAAGGAGTCTTTAAATGAACTGGTCTGGAGAGAGCCATGTGTAGAGTCCAAGCAGAAGCCAGAGAGCAAACCAACAGTTGGGCAGTAGGGTCGATTTTGATTCTAGTAGTCAAGATCATTCCCTAATCTTCCTTTACTATGGGTGTATCTGTTATGCATACAGCCATATCTACTATAGCATCGGTGTATTGCTAAAGTATGGATATATCTTGTACAAGCAATGCTGCACTTAACCTGCTCTTGGATGGAACAAAGAGGCCAAAATGGAATTAAACACTGATGCACTTCCCATTCTACCTTTGGCTGACAAAAATGCACCAGTGGGAGACTAAGTCCAAAGTATTAAGTGACCAGCAAGAGCACTTAAAATCCTTTTAAACCAGGTCAGACACAGTAATCTTTTTTCTTTGTTAGACTTACTAGATTCTGTTCCATAGTGTATACTGATTCTTCTGGCAGAGATTCTGCATGTGGAGAAGGTCCTATATGTGTTTCAAAAGCTATAGGTGTTGTTAATTATTTCACATCAGCATAGATTTTCAACACATACTTTCCCTATGGTATTTAGATCCATGGAGAGAATATGCAGATTTCCAGATTTCTGTTACGTTTTTCTCTTGCTTCAAATGGTTGCTGCTATATAGAACTAAATCCCGAAGCCATTATTTATTCTATTAAAAGTTCATTTATTTCTGAAAGAACTTTACATGAAGTTTTGGTGACAGTTGGAATTTATGGATATGTCCTAGCACCATTATTTGATCATAGATCCTCTTGTAGGATGTCTGGCCTGGATTAAGCCTACCTGGCTGCAGGTAGTTCTGCATTTGTTTTGGATTTGTAATCATTTGTAATCATTTAAATCCTGGCTATCATGTGAAATTGCTTATCTTTCCCTAACAGCTTAGAGGGAATTAAAGATGGCAAAGCTCCTAATTTTGTGATTCTATGACACAGCCCAAAACTGAACTCACCTCTGTAAATAAAGTAAAATAAAAAATTGAAATAAGGCAGTTTCAAATATAACTGATACACCTCAGGATGTGTCTTTTCATTATATTTCCTAAGCAAGGAAATTATTATGATGTCATCATTCCAGTGATATTTGCCTGTCTCTCCCCTGGCTCCTAATTTAGCCCCTGGAGACAGGAGACTGAAAAGCAAGTTGAGCTCATGTGAAGACAACTTGGAACATGATGGTAGGAAGACGGATCTGTAATTGTAGAAAGGGTGCATTTCACTCTCATTTAATCCAGAAAACATTTGGCTTAGTTGAAGGTGCTATTGTAGAAGAATTGTGCACATGGAAACGTATTAAGAAATTCAAAATAATTCCTTTTTTTTCCCAGAAGGTCTACAGCATTAGGAAGTACGCAACTTACAGGTCAAATATCAAACAATATAGCCTTGTCTTTCTCAGGATTTTGGTGTAACACAAGTGACATATTTAATCAGTTAAATTGCTGTGTTATGCCAAAATTATGCAAAAGCCTTATTTTTCAGGTGATATAGATAAATGTTTGCTTTTTATTTTCAGGTTTCCAAGT